GCCTGAGATACCCCATACACAGTGCCTGCGATACTCTGTATACCATGCACATGGTACTGTATACATGGTGCCCGCAGTACTCCAAATACAGTGCCTACAGTACTCCATACACAGTGCCTGTGATACTCTGTATACCATGCACATGGTACTGTATACATGGTGCCCGCAGTACTCCAAATACAGGGCCCACAGTACTCCATAGTTGGTGCCTGTGATACTCTGTACACCATGCACGTGGTACTGTATACATGGTGCCCACAGTACTCTATAGTTGGTGCCTGCGATACCCTAATACACAGTGCCTGTGATACTCTGTATACCATGCACACGGTACTCCATAGTCGGTGCACACAGTACTGTATGCATGGTGCCTGCCGTACTCCAAATACAGTGCCCGTGATACTCCAAATACAGTGCCCGCAGTACTCAAAGTACTTCGTATACAGTGCCCATGGTACTCCGTATACAATGCCCATGGTACTCTGTATACATAGTGCCCATAATACTCCAAAGACAGTGCCCACAATGCTCAGTATACAGTGCCTGCAGTACTCGGGGTACTCCGTATACACGGTGCCCACAGTACTCCAAATACAGTGCCCATGATACTCAGTATACTGCCTGCAGTACACGGGGTATTCCGTATACATGGTGCCTGCAGACTCCATACTCAGAGCCCATGGTACTCTAGGAAATGATGCCTGATGAAGCCTTCCCAGGCCCTCAGAAGACAAGGAATCGCGGAGTGCCCTAAGTCATTCCATGATTAAGCCATAATGGCTCTAAGGTGAGTGACGTGTGAAGATCGAGGCATTCCCTGGGTCACACTTCGCCTGCATGTTGATCCTGTTATTGACGGAGCTAAAATCTCCACAGAGGAGGAGTCTGGGTGACACGTGGGCTGCAGGAGCAAGGCTGTGCACTGCGTCACCTCCGCTGCCCTGCGTGCTGATCGCATCATAGCAGCTGTGGCTCATGTCTAGAAAGTCTTTCTTCAAATAACATTTATGCCTTTGCTCACTTCTCTTCACTGAAACAGAATAACCTCTAAACATGTATGGATCCCTCAAAACACCACAGGAAGAGAGAATGAGAAGAACTGAGGGAGGTGAGGAAGGAGGTAAATACAGTACCATTTTACTCATGTTGAGTTTGAGCACCTCCTTCCTGTAACTCCAGTTCTCGCTAACACACTGTAGAAAAGTCATGTCAGCTTTTGTAAAAGGGATGTTAGAGGTGGAAATGTAGACACGTGTGCCTCTTCCTTCCCACAGAAGGCTGGCGTTTCATCTTTTCATCTCAGAACGCCATCCCTCTGTATAAAATCAGCAGCTGCTTTGCTGTGCTCAGTCTGCCTGGTGCCCGGGCACGCGTGGGGCTGCCTGTCCTTCCCACCCTAACTCTGCCTCTCCTTCTCTTCTCCCAGCACAGTTTGGTCTGTCGTGAAGAGTATCCTTAAGAAGGACGGCCCCATGGGCTTCTACCATGGGCTCTCAAGCACTTTACTTCGAGAAGTACCGGGTTATTTCTTCTTCTTCGGTGGCTATGAACTGAGCCGGTCCTTTTTTGCATCAGGGAGATCAAAAGATGAACTAGGTGAATGTGTTGGCGGGATGGCCACTGGATGCGGGATGACCACTGGATGAGGGATGGCCATTGAATGCGTGTCCACCTTCCCCAGTGCTGGGGCTGCTGCTGGTCCTCAGCCCTTGGGTGCCTTCTGGGGGTGAGGGGAGGTCTGTGTGGTGTAGGGGTTTCTGGAAGCGGGTAAGTCCTGGCAGGGGCTTGGGGCACTGTTTAGCAGCCTTCAAAACTTTCTAACTCCTTAGGACTGGGGCTGAAGTTGCCCCCTCCAAATTTCTTACTGGAGCAACATTTGTTAACGATCACATTTAGGGCAGAAGAAATCTAGAATTTACTTTCCCCTGTGGGGAAATTGCTGTAAGTATTCTTACAGTAGAGTGCTCTGGTGGCCTAGTCATAAGGAGTTGCATTGCTGACCCAAGGGCACACGGTTCAAATCCACCAGCTGCTCTGGGGGAGAACCCTGGGCAGTCTTCTCCCATGAGATTTACTGCCTCTGAAAACCCCTGGAGGGTCTGCTATGAGTCGGTTCTGACTTAATGGCACATGATGACAGAACAACATTTTTAACAGTAAGTGTAAAATTTGGTGATAAATATTTTGATAGTTATCAAAGCAGTGAAAAATGTAAGGTTTTTTTGTAGCTTATTCTGTTTAGTCACTTAGAACAACTATACATTTTTTTATTCAAGTGAGCCACTTTTCTCCTATATCATCTCCTTTAAGTGTTTTGGATTTATTCTGGGGACTAGTTAAGCTCCCAGATGTAACTGTTATACGTGTTAATAAGAGAATCCTGATTATTCAGAGGAAGTACAGTGGAACTATTTGAGTTAAAATATTAAAATACGGGAAAAAGTTGCAAAGAGACATGGGCTTGGCTTTGAACCTCTTTTCTATCCTCCATGGTAAGACATTGCCACCTGGAGTGGGCCTGCTGGTCCCCCTGGGGCTGGCCCTCTGTGGGATGGGGCAGCGGGCCTGCGCCCAAGTGGGCAGCCCAAAGCAATCCTTGGAGCCTCCAGGCCTGGCAGTAGCAGCAGTGGACATAGATGACCAGCCAGCCTGTGTTCACGAGGCCCAGCAACAAGAGCTTTCAGCAGTTTCCTCAAAGAACTACACTCCCCAGCGTTCACCTTTGTCCTTCCACCCACCTGCAGCGCTGCCCTGCCCTTGGCTTGTCACCTGTCCCACACACCTAACACTCTGCTTGTTCTCGTCCCCAGGCCCTGTCCCCTTGATGCTGAGTGGTGGAGTTGGTGGAATTTGCCTCTGGCTGGCTGTCTACCCAGTGGATTGTATCAAATCCAGAATTCAAGTTCTTTCCATGTCTGGAAAACAGGCTGGATTTGTGAGAACTTTTATCAGTGTTTTGAAAACTGAAGGTGAGTCTGCCGGTTGTAGGGACAGTCGGAGTGGCTGGAGTGTGTGGCCCGTGGCCCAGCTGTGAGCTTTGTCGAGCTTTGCCTGCTCTTTGTACTGGTGCGAATGAGTCCACTTTGTGACCATCTTTCCAGCCCTATTCTTTATTTAGTTCTTCAGCTTGCTTTTATGACTTTCAAAGAAACCCTTAATGCTCCTATTCTTAACTCCTAGGCCAGCCAGGATTTTTTTTTTTTTTTCAAAACCACCTGTATAAGATTTTTAAAACGGGTTTGTCTAAGCAGGTGAACCCTTTGAGTTTAGTGCCATCCATCGTCCATGATGCAGATGTTAGCAGGTGATTTCTAACTGTCCCACCAGGGATGTGAAAGGATGGCCAGCACTCTGAGTGCTAGGACTTCTGGAATTAGAAATGGACTAAGAAGTTTCTGCAGGCCATGTGATGTCTATTGCTCGAGTGACGCAGGATAAGGGCTTTGGAACAAAGGTCTGCATCAAGCCGTTGTTAGGAACCCAGCAGGCACAGTGATTAACAAATTCAGCTACTCCCTAGAAGGAGTTTGAACACAGCGGCTCTGGAGAAAGAGGAGACACTGACAGTCTTGTTAATCCCCTGCGGTTCTAAAGTGCCCCACAGGTTTGCTAGGAGTTGGAATTAACTTTAGGGAAGTGACGTTTTTTACTTTCGTTTTATAGAACTACAGTAAAGACTTGTTCTTCGATTTTCCACTGTGCATCTTAAGACTTGGACACAATAATAACAGTGAACACTGCTTAATTCATGTTGCAAGCAGAGTATAGGTATTTTGTCTGTTAATAGAAATTATACTTTAAATTTGCATTATTCTTTACTTAAATGTTTTACATGGTACTTAACACGTTGTTGTTGATGGCTATTGAGTCTAGAACAACTCACAGTGACCCTATGAACAGGGGACCTGAAGCCTTATTTTATAACTATCGTTCTTCAAAGTTTAGAGTTACATTGTCTCATTATCATAACAACCCTGGGACCATATTTTCCTCTATCTAGTGCCCGAGCAGGAGCCCCTGTGGTTCTGTGTTAACTGCTCAGGTGCAAACTGACAGGCCAGGTGCTCTGGGGAGGAAGATGTGACTCTCTGTCCATAAAGATTACAGCCTTGAAGGCTCCTACGGGCGCCGCTGTGCCGGCCTGAAGCATTGCTGTGGATCCTTGATGGTGACGGGCAAAGCCAGTGCAGAGCCAAGACTATAGCAGGAGGCCTCTGACTCAAGGGGCAGCGCGCTCTCTGCCATCTGCAATGCCCATTGGTCCTCAGACCTCAGGTGAGGCTGCAGAGCCACCGCTGCTTGTGGTAGTTGCCTCCCCTCTGGCCTCCGGAGGCCACAGTCCACTAATGGACATTAGCCAAGCGTGGAGCTTGAGCCTGGGAGGCCTGATAAGCGCCCTGTTTCCGTTAGTGTATGTTGTGATGCTGCTGCAGTCTGAAGATGCTGCAGCTGTGTGAGCTCCTCCCAGGAGGCTCAGGACCTCTGATCAGCCTTCTGTATGATTGTATTCCTATTGTTTGCAGGAATAACGGCTTTGTATTCTGGACTGAAACCTACTATGATTCGTGCATTCCCTGCCAACGGGGCGCTGTTTCTGGCCTACGAGTACAGCAGGAAACTGATGATGAGTCAGTTCGAAGCATACTGAGCCCTTAGGAAGGTGGACAAGCCCGCCTTTTGAGGACTACAGTTGATCTCAGGGTTGCATAGAGGACAAGACCTTCGTGGAATTATTTTAACTTAATGAGAATTTTGTGGATTTTTTTTGGTCTCCCTTTCTTCTACCCTAAATCTTAAACTTTATGCAAAGACTCCTTGTTTACATCATATAAATTCTTCCCATAATTGAATGGAGATAGACAATGGCTGTTCTTCCCTGTGGTGGAGTACTCGGCCTCCGGGTGAGCCAGCGCCCCTCGGGACTGCTCTCAGAGGCTGCTGCAGGCGGCTCTGCCAGGGTTTCTGCTTTAACCTTCAGGTTCACTTGGACTTGGGGTTTGCTTCTATCTCTGATATTAGCCAGCAAAGCCCAGCGTTGCCTGTGCTTTCTGAAGATGGCTAAAAGTGATTGCCCAACCCGTTGGAAATGTAAAGTCACTTTTAAAGTCTGTTTAACATGCGCACTAGACTAAGCAGGTGACGTTTTTGTATGGTACTTGAAAACCAGATTATCCATCAAGACTTTGATGAGAACGTCCCTGCACGTTGGTGTGGCTTCCACGTTCCTAAGTTCACAGTGCTCTGGGCTTTTCCCGGAGGGAGGCCTTTTCCCCTACGTGGGTTCAGCTCCTTCTCCTGACTCTGCTGTCAGCTGTGACGCGGGGCCCAGGAGATGCAGCCCAGCCTTCGCCTGTGCCACTTCGCCTCCCTTCCTCTCCTAACATCCCACCTCTTCAGAGAGGACGGGGCTGAGAGGACAAAGCGTGCTGCTGACAGCAGCCAGAGAATCTGGCCTCTGGATTGTGTCCTTGCCAGCATTCCAGGGTATCCTGGTCCATCTAGAGGCTGTCCTTCCACTTTGGCCCAACTACTGTCCTCTCTCTGCCTCTATCAGGCAGAATCTCTTTCAGAGATAGAATACGCCCATGAGAAGCTTCATCCCTGTTTGGTGATGAGGGGACAGGCGGTGGGTGTAGTCCTCCCTCTGGTACGACTAGACAGGGTTCAGTGCTTGCTGTCTGTAGTAAACAGATCAGCATTCATTCATCATCCTGAAGTTGGATTCATGTAACTCATAACTCCTTGACATGTTTTTAAAGTGCTGGAGCCTTTGAAAATGATGATTATAGGTTGGATATGACTTTATAAAGTACTGACACATAATTAATTTTTAATAAATTGTATTTGTATATATATGCATTGGAAAAGAAAGACCACACACTTCCTCTGAGCCCTGGCCATCTGTTCTTTAGACATATGGTGTAGGAGGGTCATTCTTGTCACCACTAAAGCAGGCTTCATCATTCCATCCAGCCCACCACAGCAGGATCTCGCAGTCACAAGCATTCTGAAGCAGTCTGCAAAGCTGCAAGCAAGCGCTATAACCATGCATGCCCTGCATGTTTATCACTATGTGCATCTGTTACACCTCCCATTTCCCAAGTGTTTTGCCCTGCATAAGGTTCCGTCATAACTGTGGCCATGTGCCTGAAGCGAGGTGGCCAAGAAAACAAACAGATGCAGTACTGGAGGTGTCCATTCTATGCCAATAAATTTGGAACATAGTTACTCAGTCAGCTGACTGGAAAAGATCCACATTCGTGCTCATGCCAGAGAAAGGGGATCCAACAAAATGTGGATATTGAAGACCACTTATCATCACTATCATGTTGTTGTTGTTATATGCCGTCAAGTCGCTTGTTACTCATATTGACCCTGTGTACGACAGCCCTAAACCCTGCTCTATCCTGTGCCAGTCTCACTGCCTCTGACACTCCCATCCCATTTACCACAGTCACTGAATCAATCCACCTCATAGAGGGTCTTCCCCTTCTGTGCCGTCCCTCCACCCTCCCAAGCATGATGTTCCTCTTCAAGGACCCGTCCCTCCTGGCAACATGTCCAAAGTATGTCAGACAAAGCCTCAGAATCCTTGCCTCCAAGGA